CAATCGATATTATGCCGTTATCCAGGCACAAAGTGTCATTTCTCCCGAAATAATTGAGCCTACCGAGGAAGCAGAACCATCCGATTCGAGCCAACGATCATTTTCAGGTATGACTTTAGAAATCTGGAACCAATTTGAAAATTATTTTTGATAGAATTATGGCAGAAAAAGCGTGTTCTTTAAATGATATGTGTGGTATTGTAGCCGTTGGTATTCTTAATCTTGGAGCGGGAAAAATGCAGTAAATTAGATCAAATAAGTGCTTTGATTGATAGCAAACTAGTTAATAGTGAGTAGCGGGAAAGGAACTGCCATTCTTGCATTGCGAGAGGTCTAGGGGCCGGCTAATTCCTCCCTTTAAATCCTGCTTCTCAATTCAATTTTAATTAGCTAGCTCTTCTCGCAATAGCGAAGAAACATATACGATATGATTTAATCAGTGTATGGTGAATGTTTTACGAAGTGGTAGGAGGGTAATTAAAAAGCATAATGCCCCAAGAACTCAACCTCATGTGACATTCAAAACGTATGTGCAATATGATATTGAATTTTTCATATATAAAAACCTTGCCGATCACATGAACAATATTAATGCCAACGTGACTATTATTTATCGCACTTAATTTCATGTTACACTAATTTGCAAAGATATAAATGTTTTGCCCAATCAAATCTACTTAACAATATAATCAAAACATGACCACCTCTGAAACGCGTTGGGAATCTAGACTCCCTTATTTCGAAAACAATGAGACATGGAAATTAATAGATTTTTTACAGTGGAGCATAGCGTTTACAGAAGATTTCGGTGATAAACAAGACGAACACCTATTATATAAGGTTTGCTTGGAGAAGCTTCGTCTAAAACCACAATTACTTAAGTCTCGTGATGGTGAACTTGTTCAACAGTTGGTCTCGTGTTGTATGAAGTCATTTGAGGTTTGGCTTTTTATTTTATTTTGTTTTGTTTTGTTTATTCCGGGATTGTACCAAAAGCTAGGATGAGTCCGAATCTTCTTTGGATGAGTCCGGAGAATGCATTTTGTTATATTCCCGTCACTAATTGCCGAAAGTGCTAAGATGAGTCTGAATTCCCGAGAGATGAGTCTTTCGGGGCACTTTTTACTATTGGATGAGTCTGATGGTATCCCGGCAATCCACTTTTCTTTTTCTACACATATAGATGGATACGAAGTTGCCTGAAGTAAAGGGGTTCTGGGAAAGCAGTTCTACTGTTATGAAAGTGTTAAAAAAAGCGTCAGTTAAAAATTCGAAAAATATGATCAATCAAGTTTTAAATTTACATACGGATTTTAGTGAAGCACTTCTTAACACTACTCGAGAAATGGTAAAACCTGGTAATAAATTCTATAAAGACAACGTACACGTATTATGTGCTGAATTATGTATTTAACCTTTTATTTTATGATGCGGAATAATAGCTTTGAAACGGGGGTTGTCATCTGAAAGCAGTTTAAGTGAGGAAGAAACAGTCACAGATGCTGACAGCAATTCGTTTTTAGTATCTGAGCATGAGAAGGATTCGAACAATGCAACTGCTAATCAGGAAGATGTGGTATAGTAGTTTTCATTGAGAATGTTTTTATCAAAGTCTGTCTATTTGTAACAGAGATATGTTTAAGATTGTATTTACCTTTTTTTTCTTGTTCAATATACTTATGCACAGGAAGTATTAACCGAATGTATAAAATTACAAACTCATAAGCGAGAAAATGAAATTGATATTGAAGGGGATGTTTCATGTAAAAGGTAAAGAAAATTATAGGCTGTAAAGTTAAGAGAACATAAAAGCTCATGTGTATTTTCTTTTAGGCAAAAAAGCGAGACGAATAGTCCTAATGCAGAAAATCCGCAACTAAGAAACAATAGCGAAAAATCTTTTTCCGAGTCTCTTTCCTCCTCTGATGATAATAAAGAGCTTGAAGAAGATGAAGAAATTAAATTTGATCTAACAGACATTTCGATAGAATTGCGACGTGAACAGATAGTTAAAGTATGTCACATGTCAAATACTGATTCCTTTATTCCTTGTATCTTATAGTTTTCTTCTATTTTTAGTGGGAAGTCGGTTGTATTAATATAACCGATAGATTTCGGCAGTATCAGAAAGATGTTTTTAAGAAGGCGCAGAGAGAGGGTTTAAA